ATCCACTGAACATAAACAGCGTATGCTATTCTGTGTCAGCTGCGTAATGCGGATACGTTGTTTTCGTTCAGATCAAAGCGTAAGCAACGTAGAAAACGTATCCGCGTGAAGGAAATGTAATTTAACACCATAATTAATATTATTAAAGTAAAAGCAATGCATGTAGGTGAAAAATAGTCATATATATTTTTGCTAAAAAGTGTCATCCACACAAATGTATAAAACTTGCATGAATTACACATCATTTGAGTAATTGAGATAAACTACATATTAATTATTGGTTAAGTTAATCTATTAACTATTTCTGAAGGTTTCATTTTTTTTTTTAAGTATCCCTAACTGGGACTCACTTTTTTTAACCACATGTGTTATGCATAAATTTGTACAAATTCTAATCTAAACCTAAACATAAGAATTAATCACTTGACAAATGTTATTTCATTCTGTCACAAGAAAGCATGACACAGGATAGGTTAACTGACCTGTACGGCAACTCCAAAGTTGTTCCCATCTTCAATTCTGGGAATCTGTAGTTGTATCCACATTGACACCTGCACAGTCACACAAATATTACACAATGTACAAAAATGTACCAAAATGCTTTATTAAATGTATCAGAGCCAGCATGCGTATTATAGAACCGGTTGATCAAATAGAATGTCAAAAAATAAAAGGTTTTGACTTAAATGTAACTTAACTTTTGAGATCTGCATAATTATATATGATATATAATATATGACAACACTTCCTCACCGTGTTAAGACACTCCTTCAGAGTCTGAATCTCAGGCTTGATCTGTTTGAGGAGTTTCTCTACTGTCTCATTGCAGGCGATGGGACCACAGGGAGGACCTTTCAGATCACAATTAACATCATTAGGTTAAGGACAGAGATGGATGAAGACATACAATACTTTCTCAAAATCTACTTTAGGTGCTGTATAATTTCTATGACATTAACAGTGACTCAGTGCCACCCTGTGTTCACGCTGTGAATTACACCTTGTCATTTCGCATTTGGGGGAATTCAGGTCTCGGGAAAAGAGAACCGAACATTTTCAGTTTCATTTTCCAAATTGCTTCTAAACCTTTACCTTCATCCTCTTTATCTTTATCTTTATCTTTATCTCCATCCTTCTTTCCCTCTTTGGCCTCTTTCTGTGTGAATAAAATGTCATTACCGGCCTAATCAATTACTTAAACCAAACCACAGACTGGCTTGAAGGTGCAATCAGAAAATCTATTAATTTAAAAAGAAATGAATGGAAACAGTCATGCTTGTTAATAATAAATGATGTGTTATGATTACCTCCTCTTTCTTCTTCCTCTTGAGCTCCTCTTTGGCAGGGTCTGGGATTGGGATGTCCAGAGGAGCCCTGATGATTGACAGATCTTTCAGACTACAGGAACCCTAAATAACACACAATAAAAATGCAACATTTCTTAACCACAGCACAAACTATACTCAACAAGTGTGAATGTTGATGAATGCACCTGCTATTTTCATATGATAAATGACTTGTAATACCTGTAAGATGTTGTCCATCTCTGCAATCTTCTCAGGGAAGAAGTTTGAGATCAACTGTTCGGCCTGATTAAAACAATCAAGCATTTGACAATTTGACAAACTGTCCTTACAGCTGCTGTATGAATCTATCGGTCATGTTGTATTTCCTTTTATAATTCTAATAGTGCATAATGCACTGCTTTATTGTAGTAACTATAATAACTGTGGTATTTTTTGCATAAACTACAATTACTGTGGTACATTTTTAAAAGTAATGAAAGAGTGTGACTGAATAAATGTATAATTACCTCCTTGGTGATTTTTTGGGAGAATCCATCCACCTGCAAAGTACATAGGAAGTGTTTGTTAAACTTGCCACACAAACACAAACACAGGTTCAATATATATTTATAAGTAGGTTAGACTCAAAATGCATAATTTCTGCCCAAATATACAGTCATAAATAAGTGTAAATCAAGTTTGGGGCCTATGATAGGCGCTCTACCTGTTTCTTAGACGCGGGGCTCATGTCTAAGGAAGTCATCGTTTGCGAATTATCGTTTCGATTTGTCTTGCCAAACTTTATCAAAGCTGTTTGCAGAAAAAACACGCTTTAATGTCTTATCCACTGGATACCGTGGGATTTTGGTTGAAAAGAGAAGATGGGATCCAGTTGTTATCGACGACACGACGAGAAGTCACAGTTAGTCAGCACAAAGAATGAAAATGAAAGTGAATTAAGCGTCAAATAAATCATTCTTGTTTTGACCGGAGGGGGCGACAACAAAAAACATTCAGCGAGTAACGGAAACAGGATTTGTTTTGCCAATTGTTAGTTTTATGGCGGATTGCAATTTTTTTTTTTACTAACTTTTAAACTACAAAATAAAG